TTGCAGAAAACAACTTGGATGGTCCCGAACAAAAACTAATGAGAACTTGCCAGAGGTTCACCCAAGGACATTTTAACTTTTAAGCATTGAATCTTGTGGCCTTTAGCTTATAAGCCCCTTATATAATTCATCTATGTAAAATTGTTAATGGTCCCCAGATATTCACTTTGACTGTTGATGAAAACATTTAGCTGTTTCTTGACAATGCAGTCTTGTTTCTTTCTGTAGAACCTATGCTTAGCGGTACACGAATTTTGGACATATTTCGACCTGCCTTTTTAAATATCCTTTTCTTTTATTGTCATTGTATTAGGACATGGAACTGCATTATTTGAAGCATTATAACTCTTTGGCATTTTAAGTTGCTAATTTGAAACTTATCAAAACAGGAAACACACATTAAGCTTCAACATTTCTTCTTTTTTTAGTATTCAGCAAGAAGTACCCCATAAGATAAGATAGCAATAGTCTCCTCCTGCATGAAGTACATCGGTTTTTGGAGATATCCCGTAGTGTTCTTATTTGTACCTAGCTAGTTAATATTGAATAAACTTGCTTTTTTTGGTATGGGGTCTCTCTCTTCATTGGGTTGTGCAGTAAACAGGACCACAATTGGAAAGTTTGACCAATATTTTGATAATCTGAAGGTAGATTTTGATTACCCTCAGTTCAATCATGATTGATATGGATATAATGGATAGGAAGATCAAGATGAGAGATTTACTGACACCATTGAAATATATGTGCTGGAATTGAAGCAAGAGAAGTTTGATGGAGAACAGAAGAAGACAGATCGACTCACTTGGGACCCACGACATATACATATACGAATATGATGCAGGAAAAGGTTAGCTCAGGTGCTTGTTTCGTTTCTATATTCTGTGAGGTTCAATTTTGTGTGAAGCTAGTGTATGCTTGTTTCTTTTGTGTACTCTTTTTTAGATATATATTTCCAAGAAAAAGGGGAAAGAAAACACAGGGTATTATGAGATTTTATCTGCAGAGATTAAAAACAAAGCAAAACAAAAAAAAAGGTCTCTTTTCTCCTCTTTTCAACAAATAAGTGTGTGGATATCACATATGCTTCAATTGAATTACGAAACTAGAATTGATATTTCTTGTCATTATATCTTTGTAGGGAATAGCCAGGCCCAAATGCTCATATCAATACGATACATCTTATCAGGCATCATTTGTGAGGCCACCAGCTGCTATGCCGACTGCTGAAATAGTTTCGTGTGCTTGCAGGTACTTCAATTTTTTCCATATTTAACCCACCCAACAAAAAATAAGGACATCAGAATATTTGGTGTGGGGGATAAGAAGCATATATATATATATATATATATATATTATATATAACTTTTCGCAAAGGTGAAATACAAACAGTATAGCATCATTGCTCAAAATTGATGAATTATTGGTGTGGAGGGCAGGCATGCATTAGAAAGTAAATTAATTAGGGAAATCTTGATCTTAATGATATATAAAGATACGAACTTTCCTATCAAGAAAAGCTTTGTTGACTTAAAGAATTGCTATTGCAAGCACATGCTTAGCACTCTGTTACTGATGCATGATTCGCATTGAGCTAGGTTGGTGATTGTGATAAGAAAGATAGCAAATGCTCATCATTTGTTTGACTAACTTCCATGTTCAAATCAGATCAAAACCACATGACAAAAACACTTCCAAGGATATGTTATCATGTGGACAAATAGTGCTCTTACTTATTTCATGATAGATACTACATTAATGTGGTAACTTGAACAAATTCTATACACACACACACACACACACTCACACTCACACACTATATATATATATATGTATATATATATAAATTAAGAGAGATGTAGAAATTACATATAGACCATTAAGAATTTAAGTTGAGGGCATGAAAGAAGGTGGTTGAGGGTCCCATTGGAGCCATTTATTTGCATGAATGCATCCACTACCACATATGAATGCTTGATTGTAGTTTGGTTTGGGTTTTTGTTTTTGTTACCAAGTGTTTATAGCGTAATTCGTTACATTGATGTGTTTTTCTGTTTTTTTACTCTGCTTTGCTTGGGTTTTATTTAAAAATACAAACAATAATAAAAATGAAAAGGATATCTAGAAAATAAGGTGCAAAAGCATTGAGGTGAAGGTGGAGGGGCCAATTGAGGGTTGGTTTGGTGTGTTTATATCTTGTTCTGCACCTTTTTATTTTGAGTTTTTGTCCATTGAGATTTTTTTCCTTTTCAGCACTCATGCGGAATATGGTTTATTGCCGGTTGTTCTTTTATATATATATGGTTAAGTTTTGGTGAGATAAGAGTAGTAAGAGGAATAAAAACGGATCTTCACTCTGGGATCAATCCTAATTAAAGAGTTCCACTAGATCAATACTAATGAGAAACACCGAATCAACTCTCTTTAAAGCGTAATTCATGGGTGGATTTAAGATTAAAAGTGATAAATGGTTCAAGTCTCTTTTTACACTTCTTAGCTTAACTCCAATTCTCACACGATCTTTCGTTTCTCTCTCTCTCTCTCTCTCTCTCTCTCTCTCTCTATATATATATATATATATATATAGGGGTCATGTGAGAAGGGAAACTATAGTAAGTGTAAGAAGATGTCCAAACCTTTTATTACTTTTAATCTCATGTCTACCCATAAATTACGTTTTAAAAGGGAATTCATCTGGTGCACATTATTAGTGTTGACATTCAATTAGAATTGATCTAAGAATGAAGATGTCTTCTTACACTGCTCATCATAACTTCCCTTCTCATCGGAACCCAACCCTATATATATATAGGATTGGATTGTGAGAAGGAGAGTTAATGTGAAAAACGTAATAAAGGATTTCCACCATTGAATTCATATTAAGATAAGATGCAGCAGATGAATTCATAGATAGTTGGAAATCCATTCTGACCTTAATTGTCCTGGTCTTGCTTATGTATAATTTATTTAAAAAGATTTAGAGTCGTCCTCCTATGGGCTATGAATTAAATTTGAGAATGGTAGAAATCATGTGGTTGTAGAGTTGTAGATGACAGAGGCACAGACCATTGGATTGGCGGTGGGAAAGGTTGAAACTTTTTTATCAAAATGATGTATTTATGAAAACAGTGTATATAAATAGATTGAGAGGGAGTAGTAAAAATCAATCATATAACAATTTGAAAGACATGAGATGAGATGTATTTGATTTACGTTTTTGAAATACAGAATTTTTTTTAAAAAAAAAAAAAAAAAAAAAAAAAAAATGATGTGAGGATGAAAAAGGTGAGGGGAAGAAAGCAAATGGCACAACACCCATATCCTTCAACCCCTAAACTTTCTCCTATCACATGACCATGTCTTTTGTCTAATCCATCTTCCCCACCACCAATCAATCACTTTCAACTTAATCCCTCTATCTAACAAAATCCATTCCTTTTTCAAACCAATCTTAGTACCCACAAATCTTATGCCTTTTTTTCTTTTCTTTTTAATTTATTTTAAATCCTATGTGGAAGTTGTACATTTAGTTGATGGTTGATTAATTAATGTGATGATAAGATTGTTGTTTGTGGTTGTAACCAATCAAAAAAGGGGGCCATTTTTGTAAAGTGAAATTAAATACTAATCTCATCATCTAATGCGGACACGTTTTCAACAAAGTTACAAAATGGGTTTTATGTGATTTGATTTCTTTTGTTTGCCCAATTTTGGGACATTTCTTTATACCCTTCACAACCACTTGTTTTCTTTCCATTCCTTCACTTATTTTATATTACATAGTTATAGTCTTCCAGATAACATATTACTTGACATATTCTTCTATATAAATCTTAGCCTTGGTTATTATATGAAGTTGTTAGTTAAGAAGGTGGTCAAGATTTGACTGTCCATACTATTTCATTCTAATTGGGTGGCTTCTCACTAAAACATTGTTCCTCTTTTGATGTTTTACGTTTCCCAAAACAATCTTTCTTCTCTTATTTGTATCACCTAGGGGTGAGCATAGGCGGGTACCCGCCCTTTTTTACAGGAACCGGAACCGGCGGTTCTTGAGATATTAGAACCGGAACCGGTTAGAGCGGTTCTTAAATTTTTGGAACCGGAACCGCCGGGAACCGGTTTCGGTTCCGGATACCCGCTTCCTAAAATATTAAAAATTTGTTATTTAAAAATAAAAAATAAAACATTGACAAAACACTAAATAAATAAGCAAGAATACAAATTATACAGAATAATGGTTACAAATATTGATTAACGATTACAAACTATAATAGACTAATAGAAAATGTTCAAAGTTTAACGATTACATACTATAATGGTAATTGTTCAATATTTAACGATTACATACTATGAATCCAAGTGAACGCACAATTTGAAAAAATACGAATCATTTTATATGAAGAATTTAGATGAAGATTGAAGATGACGACGTGCTTTTAAGATGTAAACCTAATATAAATTTGGTATTAAAAAATWATTATTATTTTTTTATTGAAAAATACCGGGTATCCGGGCGGGTAACGGTTCCGAAAAATTGAGAACCAGAACCGGAACCATTCTCAATCGGTTCCGTATTTTAGGAACCGGAACCGAAACCACTCATATCGGTTCCGGTTCTGGAACCGGCGGTTCCAAGACGGTTTCGGTTCTATAGCCGGGTACCCTATTCCGCTGCTCACCCCTAGTATCACCCAATTTAAAATATAAACGTACTCCTCTTTTGTATTATTATGTTTTTTGTATGGATTATTACTCAAATAAACGATGGTTTTAAACCATTTATTTCGTCACATTTGAATTTCATTGTGGGGTTGAGCTTATAGATTTCTTGTTGTAAATAAACATTCCAAGTATGGATAGAAATTGAAACAAGAGTAGGGGGGTTAAAAGTGTAAGATTGAGAAATGATGAAGGAGGTGTGTGTAATTGACTGAAAGTAAAGAGTAGAATAATCAATATAAATGTTCTGGTAACAAGTATCAACGCGGAGTCCATCTTCAAGTCCTCTTGAAAGCCTTACAAAGACTCTGTAATCCATGGAGTCACTGAATTTACCCTTTTGCCATCGATGACCACTATAAGTATTCATTCCACCACAAACCCATCATGATTTTATTCATTACCCAAATGTGCTCAACTCTCGTTTCTAATTTGACTCTAAAATGCGAGTAAAAGAAATGCATCCTTTGTGTTGCATATCGCTCGACAATCCATCCATGGCTGACCACGATTCCCCCCAACCCACATACCTATCCAGGTCATCTTCCACCGTCGACCTCATTTCTCACGCCAATGCCCTCCCATGGATGTCTCACTCTCACTCCTGCTCTGCCACTAGAACCTTTGCCGGAGTCTTATACAAATGGACAAATTACGGCAAAGGATGGAAATCAAGATGGTTTCTTTTACGCAACGGCGTACTCTCTTACTCCAAGATTCTCCAACCAGAGACACTCGCCGCCGGCGAAGATGTTAGGTTCATCGGAGACGTATCTTCCGGAAGACTCAAACGCCTCGATAGCTGTGGCAGTAGTAGACGTCACATGCATCACAAAAGTGTTGGAATCGTTCACCTCAAGGTAATCAAACATAAGTAATATATCTTTATTATAAAAGGGGTTAAAAGGGTACAGGGATGGAAAAGTTTCCTCTAACGGCAAAAAGTTGACTCCGATTACACATCTTTTCCGTGCCGCTATGAATTGCCTTGATATCCGAGCTCAGCTCCTTTGACCATTCTATGACGAATACACACCACTATTTATTGAGTTTTGTATATGTTGATAGCAATTCAGTAAATACTTGCAGATTATTATTATTACTCGTTTGTTTTATGTGGGTCACATCAACAGGGCCACATAGCAGCCTGGCTGGCTTTATTTTGTGGTCGCTGAATCCCATTTTGTTCGTAACTCACTTGATTAAAACCTGCTTCAGTCCTTGTAGTCGTGTAGACCCTCTGTTTCTTTAGATCTTGTCTTTGGTGAGTTTTTTTTGCTTCGATTCATTTATTCGTTCATGCTTACATAAAAGTATGCAGTACAATGTAATATATACATTTTAATTGCCTTGTCCTTCACCATTTCTGTTATCTTGCTATATCTTTCTTGAATCTCGTCAGGTTCTGATGACTATAATTTTATTGAACTCATCTTTCTTGCGTGAAAATTGAAAAGATCAGAGCTTTTTTCATCAAAACAATCGCTGGAGCGGACTAGCATATTCTTTTAGCATATTCCTGCTGGAACAGCGATCTTGACTAAATCCATGCTTGATCTGGCTGCCTATTGTTTCCCTAATTCCTTCATCCCTTTCTTCTTGTTTTATTTCTTGATGGTTGGGTTTGCACCCATTTGTCGGGGACCTGAAAGTGAGTAGATTAAGTGCAGGTTGAATAACTTGATTCAAGACTTTTGGGATTTGCGAGTTTACTGTAGTGGTGGTACTCACTCTGTTTGGTTTGATATATTATAGATCGATTAGCAGTGAAAGGACCCCTTTGGCAGTCATCTTGCTTGACCTTTTGTTCATTGCAACAACTATTTTGTGTAAGAGGGTGAGGGTCCTTTAGTTTGTTGATTTCTCTTGGGCAACAAGTTTATATGGTTCAGTTTTAATTATTTGGTTGGAAGGTTGTGCTGTCCTTATTGTCAAAATTAAGATTCATTTGCAAAAAAGAAATGGTGGAAGAAAAGAAGTTAACTTGAATGTTGTTTAGGGAATGAAAGGTTTCTGAGCTTCCATTTTGGAACAGTTTTGAAATGTTTTACATTTTGGCAGGTGTCATCATTCCGAGAGAGCAGATCAGATGATAGGCGATTTTATATTTTTACAGCTACAAAGACACTTCATCTGAGGACTAGTTCAAAGAAAGAGAGGGTTGCTTGGATTGAAGCTTTGGCCTCAACCAGAAATCTTTTTACCCCAAGACGATTGAATGATAAACCCTCTATTATACCAACTGATATATCGGTGTCAACTGAAAGATTAAAGAAACGATTACTTGAAGAAGGAATCAGTGAGGTAGTAATCAAGGACTGTGAGCAGATCATGCTCTTGGAGTTTACCGAAATACAAGGACAAGTTAAACTTCTTTGTGAAGAGCGTTCAAATCTGCTCGACACCTTGAGGCAGTTGGAGGTATATTTTCTTTAAGCCTGGTGGTAAATACCACTCAAAGTAGGGTATGGGACTGGTGAGATCTACAAATTATATTTTTGACAAAAAAAACTAGTAAAATTTGAAGTATATAACAACTTCTCCAAAAAACTGACCCTTAATACCAGATCATATCTTTTAATATCAAATGTGGTCTGCAGTGCAACTGATCCAATATGAAGTTCCAACCCCAGTTATTTGAGAGTCACTTTCCCAACTCTTCTGTTTATTTCTTTATGTTTTTTGCAAACCATATCTATATGTTTGCACGTAAGCTGAAGTCTGAAGTCTCCACGGAAACAACCTCTGTATCCCTTGGGGTATAAAGAAGGTCCGTGTACATCATACCCCCAGACCCTATACCGAGTGGGATATATAAGTGTATGTTTGCTTTTATTTGGTTATCTATATGTTTGGATCGGTGTTTCTTTCACTTGGTAGTCAGTTAATGTGAAAGTAGTTTCTGTATTCTCTCATTGCTGCATTGTTAACAAGAACTGTAACTTTTCCTTCCTTAAAAAGTTGTAACAATTGGAGGCCCACCCATGTGATTGGGTTGATTGTGATCTTCTTACTTTTTAGCTCTCAATAATTCACCAGTAGCCTAATTGTACATTATTACATTTTAGTAACTGGTAAGCATGCCATATGACCAATTGGTCTAATTTGACATAGAAATGCTCAAGACCAAGCTTCAACTACCAAATAATTAAATCCTTGCAACCTTGCCAAATCTTGCTCAAAACTTAGCACTGCCCTTTCGTGATATCCCAATCCTACATCTATCATGTTGAATTGGGTTCTGTAAATTATGATGAGGTTTTGAACTTCTAGTGATACAATTCTACCCAAAATAAAAAACTCGTTACACGTAAATTTCACCTGAGCATTAATAACTGTACTCTGTACCATTGGAATTGTTGGGCTAATTGATGTCAACTCGTTAGGTACTTTATAGGATAAGAAATAGGTATTGGTGAAACTAATTTAGGTTCTAGCTTTAGTTGGATGGAACCGCCATCAGCTCATAAACCCTATTTCAGGAAGATCAACTCCTGATGATAAATTACATCGATCATAATTTGCTGATGTTCTTGTGATCTGATCACTTTTGGTTGTTATGTGTACAGTTTACCTAAAGAAGTAGTTAATATGCGGTTGATGAGTTGTGTTTGAGCATGCATTTTTCAATTGTTATGTGACCTAATATCATTACATTTATAAAGCAAGCGTCTTGCATTCATCAGGCTGCTAATATTGAAGTTGAAACCCCTGGAGTTCCTGAAGGGGAGTATCAATTGACACAACAGGAATTTTCAGATCTACATCGTGGAAAATATAGTGGTATGCTCCCTATGCATCTTTCCTGATTGGTGCCTATTACAATTGTCATATGTTAATGTTATATACACATATATATATATATATATATATACACATATATATATATATATGTAGTATGTATGTATGCATGTATGTATGACATCTGCTTTTGGGTGCTTTCTTGTTTGATTAAAATGATTCAGAATGGAGTACAACTGAATCATCTGATGATGTTGAGAAACAAGAACTTGAGGAGGCTTCAGAAGATGAGGAAACCTACTTTTTTGACACGGAAGATTGTTTTCCTGGAGAGAGAATGAGTCGTGGGTCTATAGATACTGAATTAAAAAACCAGCCTCATGTTATGGCTGAAGTGATTGATAAGAAGGCCATTGTTGAGTCTGGAGACCTTCAAATTGAAAGGAGAAAGAAGCTTCCGGATCCTGCTGAGAAAGAAAAGGGGGTCAGTTTATGGTCTTTGATTAAAGACAATGTTGGAAAGGATCTCACACGAGTCTGTCTCCCTGTTTATTTTAACGAACCAATATCATCCCTACAAAAGTGTTTTGAGGACCTGGAGTACTCTTACCTTCTAGATCGTGCTTATCAGCATGGAAAAGAGGTACAACTCAATATTAATCAGCCTTTTCTTACCATCTTTCATATGTGTAATGTGCTTTTTAATCTAATCTTTGATTTGATTCCGGATTGTGCTCCTAGGGAAACAGTCTTGAAAGAATCTTAAATGTTGCTGCTTTTGCGGTTTCTGGATATGCTTCTTCAGAAGGACGACATTGTAAACCGTTCAACCCTTTATTAGGAGAAACTTACGAAGCTGACTATCCTGAGAAAGGAGTTCGCTTTTTTTCCGAGAAGGTATGTTGGTTTTAGCGTAGGTTTGTGTTTATTGTTTTGAAGCTTATGCCATTTTTCTGAAACAGGTTAGTCACCATCCCACCCTAATAGCCTGTCACTCTGAAGGTAAAGGGTGGAAATTCTGGGGGGATAGCAACATTAGGACAAAATTCTGGGGGCGATCAATTCAACTCGACCCTGTTGGTGTTCTTACCTTAGAGTTTGATGATGGCGAGGTTTTCCAGTGGAGCAAGGTATATAAAATGCAACCAATGGCCATACTGAGTCTTGTTTTAGTCTCATGGCAGCTATAATATTCGTGTGTGTTTTTCTGCTGTCAGGTCACAACCAGCATTTATAATCTTATTTTGGGTAAAGTTTACTGTGATCATCATGGAATGATGCATATACGTGGTAATCGAGAATACTCATGCAAGCTCAAGTTCAAAGAACAGTCTATTCTTGAAAGAAATCCCCGACAGGTAAATGCTTGGAAAAATGGTCGATAGAGATGAAAATGTCTATGTTTAAACTTCTGACCTTATATACAAAAACAGTACAAAAAACTATAGATCCCTGTCATAAGATTCTATTGTGCATCGCATTTTTCCTTGATCAGTATAAATTGTAGATGTCAAATCTGTGTATATCTACTTTTTAAGTGGGATTTACTGTGTCGGTTTGGTTTGGTTTACTGATATCGGACGCCTGTTATGAAACAGGTACATGGGTTTGTTGAAGATGGTAGTGGTAAGAAACATGCAACGGTATTTGGAAAGTGGGATGAGAGCATGTATTATATAAATGGAATGGCTAATGTGAAACCGAAGGATATGGCTGATGCAAATCTCTTGTGGCAAAGGACTTTGCCTCCCACCAATCTCACTCGATACAATCTAACATATTTTGCCATCACACTGAACGAGTTGACTCCAGGATTGCAGGTAGATATGACTTGCTGATTCAAACTGTATATATATTTATTACATTTAATTTCATTGTTTCTGATTCGGGGTGTTTGATAACGGGTTAAGGAGAAGCTTCCACCTACGGATTCCAGACTCAGGCCTGACCAACGGCATCTGGAGAAGGGAGAATACGATATGGCAAATGCTGAAAAGCTACGTCTCGAGACTAGGCAGAGAATGGTATCTATCTAGCTATCTCATGCTTTCTGTATTTCAATTCTTTGCCGACTTTATACCATTGATAATTTACCATTTTCTTTTGCAGTCGAGAAAACTACAAGAAAACGGATGGAAACCACGATGGTTCCAAAAAGATGGTGAAGACAGTACCTTTCGTTATGTAGGTGGATACTGGGAAAAACGAGAGGAGCGGAACTGGGACGATTGCCCGAATATATTTGGTGAATTTAGCAAAGAAATTAATGATTCCATCAGCAAATCCTGAATTATCAGGTAACAGTTAGATTTCAATCCTAATGTACCAGATTCCGTCAGTGTAAAAGAAACTTAAAAAGGTTTGTTTACAAATGCAAATGCAGGGAGAGGGACAGAATCATCATTCGGAAGAACCCTAAAATGGTCGAATGTAACCCAATTCTTCAAGATTCTTACCAACTTGGTCACATATTATTATCATGTGATACTGGTCAAAAACAAGAAATGGCTTCACGATACCCTCTTAGCTAACCAAATTAGCTACTTCATTTAGATCCATCTTTGAGTTATTTTGGATAGAAATCAAGGGGGAAAACAGAGTTCATTGCTCGGAGAACTGTTCATATCTGTAGTTTTGTAAGAAGTTGAATGTATTCAGAAAAATAATCAGAGCAAATAGTGGTGTGTTTTTGTCAATATAATCTTCAATCTCCTTGCCCAAATGTTTACGAGCCATCTACACATAAAAACTTGATATATTTCATCATCACTTGTTTAACCTAACCAAATAGAACGGGTGCACTTTTACATCTCCATTCTTTCTTTCGTCATCGTCTTTCTTTCCATGACGGATTATACAAACCGAAGCAACTTTAGGTACTTAGAAATTAGTTGAATAAATAAGCATTCGGATCATGCAACAGACTCTTCTTCTTCCAGCTCGATACCCTCGCCAGCGAGCCTATGCTCCCTATAAACGTACCATTTCGCTCCGATCAAATACAACCCCATGTTCAAAACGCTTAGAACCGTTAGCAACCAGTAGAAATTATAAAGCTTCCCCTTGTTCAAGTTATCCGCTAGCCATGGGTCCTTGTCTCCGGTCACCTTGTGCACAATGGTCACCAACAACGAGCTTAAAAAAAACCCTAACGACAACGTGCTTAAAAACAATCCAGTGCTCATCGTCTTCATTCCTTTAGGACACTCCCTCAAGAAGAAATCAAGTTGGCCTATGTACGTAAACGCCTCCCCCGACCCCACAAAGAAAAACTGTGGGACCAACCAAAAGACACTAAGTGGGACCACCTTCGATGGGTCATCAACCAAACCACGAGACTTGGCCATGTTCAGCCTCTTGATCTCGGTGAGTGCGGCTGAAACCATGGCCAATGTGGATAGAACCAGGCCTATGCCGATGCGTTGAAGAGGGCTAAGGCCTTGTGGGTGCTTAAGGAATTTTTTGGCGATTGGGACGATGATACGATCGTAGATCGGGACGGTTAAGAGGATGCTGCCGACGAAGAAGACGGTAAGGGATGCGGGAGGAATGAGGAAAGATTTTCCGATGTGTCTGTCCATGGTGGTGGCTTGTGAGACTGAGAAAGTAGTCATTTGTGCATAAATAGTCCAAAACATGATGGTGGTGGCCCAAATTGGTAGCATTGTGATCACCATTTTCACTTCTTCTACATCGGTTGTAGTTGAAAGGTGCCATTTGTTCATCTTCACCAACTCACCAGATTTTTCATTTTTCTTGATTGCTGCCTTGTCAAGGAAACTGCAAAAACACCCCATTATCAATATTATTTAGTTTCTATTTTATACTAATTTTAATCTATTAATAACATCCATACATACTCGTTTGTGAAATATTTTTTTCTTTCCTATTCCTACACATTTTACAGAAGTCCATAGTTTATATAATAAAAATTATGATTAAAAATAGTTAATATATTTTAAAACAAATAAAATTGGTTTACACACTCTCTTTTCTTTCCCTGGGTCGTTTGTTTCTTGTAAATTTTAAATAAATGAAAAAAAAACAATACATTACTTGTGAATAAAAGAATAATTATTTTTTTGTTAAATATAGCTAGTTATGTAGGTGATGTATTTTAGAAATTAAACATATAAAAGGAATTAAATTCTAATATTTCCTACTGGGGTCCCATTACCAAAATCCACCAATTTCATTAAAATATTTAATACAATTTATCAAAAATTATTTCTCTCTTCTAAATATTTAACCTTATTTTATTTAACTCCAATTTCATACCACATAAATTAATAAATATTTTTATGTTATTTTAAATAAGCAATCTCAAACATCCAAAAGAAGAAAGAGGGAGGAGGTGAGTTAAAAAAGTGTTTGTTGAAGTAAAGATAAAGATTAAGACAAAGTTTGTATTTTAGATTAAATAAAAAATACAAAAGTTTTGGCTGCATGTAATCCATGATTATTTGTTGACAGACTGGGTTCAGATTCAGGCTCTCGTGATATGTCGTTCAGTACCTTAATATTGTTGAAGAACATAGATTATTCTAATAAATGAAACCTATCTGCTGATTTAATGTAACAGCATCAATTTAATAAGAAAAAGACTCACTGACCGGAACTGCTTGCTGTGAGGCAACTTCTGCTTCAAAATTTTGGTATCATCAGTTTCTTGAAGATCATCAACATTGAACAACAATGAAGGATCCGAAGGAAGCTCCAAATGCCTCTTCCTCCATGCCCCCACAAAAACCGACGCTATTTGGGTTAACGGGCTACCCACCAACTTCTTGAACCGATACCTTCTCGTACCCGACAAGAAGATCACCAACCCTAACCCGATCGAACACGCCACAATCCCATACCCCCACCGACGCCCAAGGTTATCCTGTATATAAACCAGAAACGTAACCGCCGCCAGTGACCCGATACTTATGAAGAAGAAAAACCAGTTAAAGAAAGCGGTCATTTGGGCCTTCTCTTCCTTGTTGGATTCGTCGAATTGATCCGACCCGAAACCAGATACACTGGATTTCAACCCGCCAGTTCCCAGGGCGGTTAGGTACAGGGCTATGTAGAGAATGGCTAATTGGAGATCGGTCGCCGGAACACAGGAGTCGCCGGTTTTGGTGCATTTTGGTGGTTGTAGGCTTGGAATGGCGGTTGATATCGCCAAGATTGTCACACCCTATTAATTTTTATCAAGAATAAATCAAAATCATAGATAAAAGAAACAACCCAAGATTAATTACTGACCGTTGCTGTTAAAAAAAAAAGGCAAACTTTATGAAAATTTGAATGGGGGAGTGAAACAAAATTACTGACCGTTGCTTGAACCGCCGTGAATATGGCAATTGTAAGATACCGGCCGAGAAATGTGTCGGCAACGAAACCGCCGAGAAGACATAGCATGAAAGAGGTACCCATGAAGTTAGTGACGTCGTTAGCGGCGTTAGCATTTCCCAAATGCATAGTACCAGTTAAGTATGTCACTAAATTAACGGCGATACCCAACGTCGTTAGCCTTTCACACGCCTCCACCCCTGAAAACTCAAACATTAGAAAAACAGTACCATCTTTAACGGAAAAAGAAAACATCTACGGCGATTAACATCAATCACTTAAAAGGGTACTAGTGATTGAGGTCTGTGCCGCCAGTGATGGTGGTGGTGGTGGTGGTGGACCTAGAATCATGGCGGCACTAGCCCAGCCGCCGGTGGTGGAACGGGGTGCCGGGCTTCCCTTGTAGTCCCAAGCATCAGGCAAAGTTTTGTCCATTTGTGACTGCGATTCAGGGAGGGCCATATGATATCTATATTTGGTAAATGTGTATATAAAGAGCAAGGGTTAATGGTATAGTTGTTGAGGCGGTACAAATGCCCAACAGAAGAGAAGAGAATATACAAACTCAAGGAAGACCGACCTTCTCTTTTATAGCCTATTCGTCAAAAAATATCACACATGTTCATGTCAGTCGAGTCCATATAAAAGTCACCTCTAAATATATTAATATGAGTGAGTATTTTTTTGTCTCATTCAGCAGCTAAGATTAACAAAGAGATCTGGGATCGAATATGAAACCTGTTATGTATCTGGGTAAAAAATCGTCTCAATTCTTTATTAACTGAATTATACATCAGAGACAATTCTTTTTTATATTAGAATTTATAATTTTGAGTGCTTAGGATGATTTACAGATGTTTAATGAATGGAGATCATTTTGTTTCTAGAATCATAAAAACCGTCCTTTTTTATTCATGCAACATGTGATGCTTCTGCTACTTGACATGGAAGCTGTGTAAAAAGTGATCAAACAGAAACAACTTTTATTTTCAACAAACGTACGCTATCTTAAACGATTTAAATGACCGTTTAGAGTTTGACACGTCAAAACCCACCAATAATCGCAACATATTTGCGAAAAACAAGTAAATTACTCTAGCTAACTTGTTGAGGAATAATTGAAGTATTATCAGATAAGAATCCTTAGATGAATTTATCCGCAAATCAAAGAGTGAAAGGAAGTAATTATTGAAAAATCGCTTTGGCACTTATTAATGTCAAGTATATTTTTAAAAGATTAGTTTATGGATAATTAAATGAGGCTTTTTTAATAAACTCGAAAACTAAAGTAACTTTGTAAAGCATGACTTAGGAATGGTTTACGTATATATAACAAAATATTAATGTTTTACGAAAATACAAAAACAATTATGAATTTTCAAATTAGTTAATCCAGAATTGAAATTATAATAAATGAAAATAAAGCATCAAGGGTAGTAATATAATTATGTATTTTTCATCAAATTCAGGTTATTTTAATTATTTGTGTTTATCCTTCAATTTTCGATCGATGCTAATACATGATTGTTGACATTTAATTCGAATTTGCTTATTACGCAGTTTGGATAATATCTCATTGTTGACATTTAATTTTCAGTCGATGTTAATTGTGTGATAATCGTTGAAACTAAGGGGTTTGACAAACTAGCTGATAAATAAATCATGTTTGACAAAGAATAGATGATAAATATCTAAAATAATTAAAATGGACATCTTGAAAAATTAATCAATTGCAATATAATATAATACAATAAATATTTAGTAATAGAATATATTAATACAAATAAGATAGTAAAAAAGTTAAAATAATATATTATGTTAATTAAAA